AGTAGCATTTCAACTTGGTGTGTCTGTGGGAAGAAAAATCACTGGACATAATACTCTGCTGCCATTTTGCTCTACCTCTGAGATCAATTAAATTGATAATGTTTATGTGAGCAAGAAAAAGATTCTAGAACCAGGCAGCATTCCTAACTGAAGGTGAGTCAGAATGTCCCACCCCATATCATTTGTAGGCTATACTTAAATATAAAGAAAAGAAAGTAACAGCGAAATACAGAAATAACTTGACTGACAGCAGTCATCATTTGCCTTATATGGTCGGGGTGTGACAAGTCGTTCACCTTATATGGGGATCCTATCATAAGTCAGAAGTTTATGATTAGCTAAAGCTCAACTCCTGTGATTGGCTGAAACTCAGCTATCTGTTCTCAAAATACACTCTTAAGTTAGTTTGCAATTTGTTTATTTACTAAGTTAGGATGCAGTTTGCTTCATAAAGAGGCAGCCTTGCACCAAATTTTATCACCTAAGTATAGAAACAAATTAGGCTAAACTTCTCAGCCTAACATTTTCTTGTGTTGCTCCTGAGGAATCTTAGAGCAAGGTGGGGCTTTTTTAATGCCATGGAAATAGTCCACAGAGTCTAGAAGCTTGAAGAGTAATGATCATGCTAGGACAAAGGACTAGGATTTGGGTTTGCTTGAAAGCAGAAGTTGAAATAAAGTTTCTGCATCAAGCTAAGTCCTGAATGGACTGTGCACTTAGTAAAGTAGAACGACTTTCATTGGTCCAAGATGAATGGCAAAAAAATGTTCAGAGAGAAACCAAAATACTATACAGAGAACATGGATCTGGAAGCCAAATATGCATTGTGACACAGTATTAAAAACATATCAGTGATGTTTAACATAAAAACTGATCCTCAGAGGATGCATCCCAGCTGGAGGCTTTGGTATAAGCAAATGTGGAAACATTCTTGAAGTACGTTTTTACAACCTGGGATAAACAGGATGGCTCAAAAGTAGTTATCATCTGCTAGGAGAAGCTGAAGAATCAGACCAAAAGTTTCTAAACTGCTTGCAGTTGTTTCTGCTAAACATACTGTTAAAGACACCTTCAAAAATGAGAAAATCGCAGTTGACCAGCTATCAATATCTTCTGAAATTAATAGCGATATGGACCTTTTACTATTTAGTGAATCGCATTTTGAATTACTTTTAAAGGTCAGGAAGAACTAATGTAGAACAAAGTGTTCATTTTCTTGGTAGTGAAGATTTATTATACTTCTTGGGGAAAATGTAAGAATGATAGTGTTCCACAGAAAAACTATTTAACTTTAGTTTAGATTTCATGAGAAAACCATAGTAGCAATATATTTTCAACAAAGCACTGTTACTAAGAGCTAACTGCATTAGGTTCTGGGATGGTTTCCTTTGATGTAAAGTGTTCTATGACACTAAATATTACAGTACTAGAGGGAGAATGTTTTTCTGTCTTCTCTGAATAATCCTACAATCACAGATTTTTTTGGCATCATACCAAAAAAATAAGTGTGAGAGTAAAGTCTATTCAGTAAATGTTAATATATGTGTAACACCTTATAGGAGAATATAAACAAGGATCTTAAAAGATAATTTGCTCAGTTCAATATTTTTATTTTTGGCACTGGCCAAAAACCTAAAGTCAGACTGTCAGCTTTTCTATTGTGTGCCATTTCTACTTCCTATCCTTCTTGGAATTATGAAATGCTTTGCTATGTGAAACTGAAAACTTATCTGAAGAACTATATAAGCAGTTTTGAGACCCCAAATCATTCATTTATTCATAAATCTTGAAAACACTCCAAGTTTGTGTATTTTTGTCTTATTCTAAAAGTATTTTTAAAAATATTGACTAAATAAATGTTAAAAGCATAACAGAAATATTTAAATGATGACAGCCTTTAATTAGATTATTGCTTTCTTTATCCCCAAATTTCAGTGATCTCAACCCAAAATGAGAAAACCCCAGTAAAGTTGGACTTAAAATAATTGATAAAATTATCAAATATTGTGGATTATTTGTGAATCACAAATGAAACTTTCATTATAACAATTAGGAAGATGAAATTATTAAACATGAGAAGTCCTGGAAGTTAGAGTCTCACTGGTCAGTGTGTATACACATGGAGACATTTCATTAATGTTTTGGAGGCTCCCTCTGGGTAAAGCCACATGTGTATCTTTAATAATTTCTTAACATAATATCAAGTGGATAAAGACTACTAACTGGATAACCATAGTGACTATAGAAATAATTTGCTCTATTGCAACATTTGTTATAATATTTGAAAGCTTTTGTTTTACATATTTTATAATTATAAAATAAGACAATGTTTCAAAAATTGTCAGGCTTCTGCTAGAGCTATAACATATACCTTAAAAGTACTAAATGTTCACTAAATCTTGCTTAAGGTAGACATTCAGCTCATCATTGAGATTTTCTGTAGAAAGCAATCAAATAATATTTAAGTGCCTCTTATTCTTTAATATTGTTTTAGCTCTTCTATCCTTGTACTTAAGGATGTCCTACTTAGAAATTTTTATGGTATTGCCAGGAAAGAAATGCTATTTTTCGTATTTTATGAATTCATACTATGTTTTGTTTAAAATCTTATGAAGTAGGTAATATCATTCCCATTCTATGAATGAGAAAAAGTGAACCTAAAAAAGTGACACACTGCTCCCTGTATAGCTATCCTTATCTCAACCAGCAAAAACCCTTGTTCCTTCCTATTATTGCTTATACTCTCTCTACAACAAAATTAGAAATAAGGGCAAAATAGTTTCTGCTGGGTATTGAGGGGGTGGGGGGGAGAGGGAGGGGGTGGAGTGGGTGGTAAGGGAGGGGGTGGGGGCAGGGGGGAGAAATGACCCAAGCCTTGTATGTACTTATGAATAATAAAATAAAAAAAAGTGACACACTTGCTTAATTGAAACTATCTTTAAGTAGCCAAGTATGGACTTGACAATACTGCCTCTAGAATTCTCAATGAGCACCAGTAGGATGGAACTAAGCTTGTGGATTGCTCAGCATCCACCTTCCTAAGATGATGTCTTTGAAAATGTTTCTGATTTTTCTCAGGAGTTACCCTATTATATCAAATGTCTTAAACACAAATGTGTGAAAATTAATGATATACCTTTTCTTAAATACATGCAAATTCAGCTAAAGCAAGAAATGAGATAATGATAGTAATAGATTGTGAAGAATTCTACTTAAAATTTTTGTAGCTGAAGTTTCAAAATTGGTTACATCAACTATTTATATGAATGGATAATCTTCAAGTCTGCTTGCTACCCCAAAATGTTGATGAAATCCAAGACTCCCCATTTGAAACTGGGTGAAAGTGTGTTTTTGAACTTGTTTTTGTTTTTCAGCACTGGGGCTTGAACTCAGGGCCTACACCTTGAGCCACTCCACCAGCCCATTTTTGTGCGTGATGAGTCTTTCAAAATAGGGTCTTGCAAACTATTTGCCTGGGCTGGCTTTCAACCACTATCCGCCTGATCTCTGCCTCCTGAACAGCTAGTATTACAGGAGTGAGCCTTACTTTTGACAATCCATGATGGAGATGGGAGGAGAACAAGAGCAACACAAATCTCATTAAAGATCACAATCACATGATGAGCTGTTTAAAAACACAAATAACTAATCTTACTAAATAAATAACTCTGGGGAAAGGGAGCCTTAGAATCTGTTCTGTTGGGGTAAGTCTAAGATATATTGCAAGTGCATAGCTAAATAACACAATGTATCCCTCTGTACAACTATTACTCCCACATGCTAATAAAATTTTAACAAAGAATCTGTTCTGTTATCTTCCAAAAATAACATAAGAAATTTCAAAACCTATTGAGATTTTAATGGCCTGGTCTCCAAATTCAAATGTACAAGCTCCTTCTTGATTTCCCTTATTGAATACCTGGCAGTAGGTCAATTTCGTGTCTCAAAATTGAATCCCCTGTTTCAGTGCACCACATCTCCAAACACCTCTTTCTGTATCCTTTTCATTTGGTAAAGGTGAACATACTCTTCGAGCTGCTCACTTGCTTGGTCCCAAAACCTTACTCCTTGACATTTCTATTCATCCCACATTTTATAATCTATCCATCAGTAATTTCCTTCTACCATGTTTTTCTATTTCCTCATTACCACCATCATTCCAGGATAAACCATTTACATTTTTCATGAGTATTTCAATATACTTTTCTAAGCTAGAGGATATTATTCCTCGTGCTTTCTCTTCTCCTAACCATTGCTTTTTCCCCATTCTGTCTCTTTATCCAAGAGTGAGAGACCTTTTGAAAATACGATTCACAGGTCCTTCTCAGCCCTGCCACTCTCTGTCTCTCATAAGATGCTCAAGTTTTCTTCATAGAACTTATCAGCCACTTACCATATACTTACTTCCTTGTGTATTTTTGGTGTCTCCCCAGTATAATGAAATTTCCATAAGCAGGGACTTTTCCTTTGTCACTTGGAACACTATATGATCTAGAGTGCTCCTCAACCAATATTTGATTAATTAACTAGTGAATGGCTATAGCTCAGGTGTCTCCTAAGTCAGGAAGTTTTCCTTGATCAGTATGATTCTCCCATGCCTTCTTTATGAGCGAGTGCACATCGCCATCTCCCTGGTCTACACTGCTTCGTAGGTTTGGGTAAATTTTCCCTATTAAGTTGATCTTTGAGGATGCGGAATTGTGCCTCCTTTTAAAATTTTCATGCTATCACAGTGCTGAGTATCTACCATTCATTTAGAATACACAGGAAATGAAAGAAGAAATGAATAAAGGTCAGGCATCCCTAAGATCTACCTGGGATCTTCCTTATGGTCACTAAGCACACAGTTCTTGAGTACAATATACTCAGTTGTATGGATAAGTAGGTCAAAGATGAGTGGCCTTGCAATCTATCTAATGCTGAGTAAAGGCTTTGTTGTTTGAGCCTCGTCCATTAGTTAAATGATGTGGTTTCAGCAGCTGAAATTTGTGTGTTTTCAGAGATCGTCTACAGCTGGGTATTTAACGAGTTCCCTTCCTTTGTGGTGGAAGACAGCCGGAGGTTCATCTCCCAGGAGACAGGCAACCTTTATATTTCTAAAGTGCAAACATCAGATGTCGGCAGCTATATATGCCTGGTGAAAAACACAGTGACGAATGCTCGAGTACTTAGTCCTCCAACACCACTCACTCTGCGGAATGATGGTAAGTTTCCCGGCCCATATTAAAATGGCCAACCATTTCAAATGTGAAAAACAAAGATGCAGTCATGTTTTTCTAAGGCTTCTAGCCTAATACAAATACAATAAAAAGTCATTTGCTGTATTTAAGAACCCACAAATTTTAGTTTGAGATTATGCATGCCTTAGAATAAAAATTTTCTCATTGGAAAGTCATGATCCATGGTTAGGAAATAGCCACCATAATGCTACTCTAATACCAGAAAGAGAGGAAGGATCTGAAAAGAGCAGCAATGAAGACTCCACAGCTCTTTATTTGCTCCTCAGTGCCTCTATATAGCATATGTGTTTGAATTCTAAGTATTGCATGAATTCAGTATTCATTGCATTTTTATTTTAGCTGCCTTCAGATTGAATATTCAGTTTTTAATACTTCATGGTACAATTATAATTGTCATTATTACTTTTCCAATAATAGGAACAGTTGGAAATTTAACTTTTAAGTACAATTCTGGGAGATGTGATGATGCTATAATTATAGGTATTGCCATCTATCTAAAGTACCTTCACATTTAAACACCTCATTTGTATTTATAGACATTTACAGTTAAGCATTGCACTCAAGAAGTCAAGTGATATATTTCAGTTGATATATGATATGCTGCTTGCTCTATCGTGCAACAAAAATTATCTTTGAAGGCATTATTAAGAAGTGAGCTTGAGAATTCTGATTGATTCTGGAGTTTAAAAATTAATCTATTTCATCACCACCCATTTATATGCTTTTTTAGAATATGTGCTTACTGAAATGTATAGCTGCAGCTATATCACAAGAGTTTTGCTTATCACTTTGTGTGTGTGTGTGTACACATACCTGAATTGTGTGAGACTTCATAAACTAAAAAGAACATAATGAATGCCACTATATGCTATATATAATAGTAATAACTACCAGGTGAAGTCCAAATTTAACATCCATTGTAGAGATGAGAAATCCAGTATTAGACAGATGATAGATCCTGCCAAAGGACACACAGTTCAATACTGTAGTAGATGAATAGTGGGAAGTAAGAATAGAGATGGGAAGACCAATTCAGAGACCACTGACAACAACTAGCCAAGAAGTGATAAGGGACAGAACAAAAGGAGTGATAGTCACAAACCTTAGCGATTAAGAAATAAAACTGCTTATTAAGGAGGTAGCATGACTAGGATTTGATAGTATTGGGCTCTAAACTAGTATGAAGGGAATCTAGCATATAAAACAATTTCAAGGTATTGGCATTGTTCATTGAATAGTCTTTTCATCACAAGAGGTGACACAGGTGGAGAAACAGGTTGTAACTTGGTGAGCATGAGACATTCAGTTTTAGATATGAGAGGAAGTGTCCATGGGAAATCTATGTGGAACTATGCAGTAGGCATTCAGATATATAGTCCTAATACTCGTGTAGGATATGTGATTTCTGAGTTATTATTCTGCATTCCTTCACTGTAGTTAAAGCTATGGGTATGTACATGTTACAATTTCAAGATTATGTAAAAATATTATAGATGAAAATAAAAGAAACCAGATTTTTTAAAAATTCATCTAAGCACTTGAGATTGTGGTGATTCCTTATAAGCCATTTGCATGAAATTTCCAAGAATTTCCTCATTCCTTAAGTACTTAAGGCATCCTTACCTGAAATAATAACATTTTGCTGGCTGACACACACACAAAATTGCTGCTTGCACTTGGTAGTGCCTGAGGTGAAGAGTACTTCACTTTGTTTCACACAGCAGACCTACACATTCACCACAAGGAGAATAACACACGTGTGAATCTGAATCCAGTCCTAACACCACATTCCCTAGCAGCTAAGCGTTCAGTATCCATGTGTCATGCACGTGTTTCATGGTCCACATGGATTTGTTAACTCTCCCTCCTGCCTTCTATGCTCAAACATTCAAAACTCATCCTTTGCTGATATTTAAAGTCCCCTGTTTTTCTAATCTCCTATTGCTTGTGTTTTGAAATCCCTAATCCCATTAAAGTCAACTGTCTTCTTACCACATGGCTACTAAGAGCTCCATGAAAAGTTACCCCTACCATGCATCTGTGATCACCAACTTCAAATCAACCTTCACCATTGCCACTCAGTCTCAGTAAATTTCTGTGGATGGTTTAATTTGCTACCCCATGAAAACTTTTGAAGCATCTCTTCTTTCCTTCAACTGGACTGCACCTCCACCTCTTCTTCAAAGAATTGTATACGTTCTCTAATTATTCTTCCTCCTAATAAAATTCTAATGTAACCGTATCTCCATCTACAATGATTATCCTCCATCCCATCCTATGTTGGTGGAGATATTGTACTGTTCCTCCTCTTGTTGGAATCTATCCCTCCATCCTTCATTCCTTATGCTTTTTTTCTAGGCCTTTATTAATAAGCAGTGGTATGTCATTAAACAGAAACAATTTTATCATCAAATTGAATTCACTGCACAATAAATGTCATTGGTGTGTTTGTCTTACAAAGATCTATATTTTCAACAAATCATTATCTGAGAAGTACTATATGAAAGGCTTAATAAAGAAAACACTGTATAAATAAGTAAAACAAAATTTTTGTTTTAAAATTAACATTTAACTGAAAAAAATCAGGTAGGAAACCTCTGCTAAATTTCAATTATATTACTCAAACTTAAGAAGTTAGAAATTTCTTATTTCCTCTTTTTGTAAATTATCTAACTTTTTTGTTTCTTAACTGGTTACCTACCCATGTTTGCTTTTTGTAAATCAGAGTAAGATGACCATATTTGAATAAATGTAGTAACACAGAGAAATAAAAAAACACACCTATAACCAATGCCTGTCATTAAATCCCTCGCTCTAGAGCCAAGCTTTTAATATGTCATTTTTCAATTCATGAAAAATGCTTCATTTTAAAAGTTATTTAATTTTTAAATTTTTAGGTTGTGGTAGAAAATATCTGTACTTCTTGATTAATCAAGTTGAAATAACTCTTTATTCCCTCACATAGTTACATATTTTTTCTCTTTTCCTCTATTTTATGTTTACATATTTAATAATTTTCTATTGCTTAACTTCTTAAAACATTTCTGTTAGTGTATATTAGTTGTGTGGGGGGTTCCATTGTGACCATATATGATTCCAATGTATTTCTTAATTTTTTAGCTTCATACTTAAATTTCTGTTATTCTCTTAATTCTTAAAAAAAATTAACTTCCTACTTTATGAATTTATAATATTTTATCCCACTTTTTCTGTAATTTCTGACTTTTATTATTATTTTTTAAATTTTTATTATTATATATTCATCATACAGGAGGTGATTCATAGTGACAATTCTGATTAGGCTTACACTGTACATTAGTTACATAGCTCCCAACCCACTCTCTCTCAACCCACTCCTAGCCCCACTTAATGAAATTGCAAGAGGCTTCCTTACTCTATTTCATTTAGATATATGAAGCCAATCAACCATACACCCTCACTTTATACTTCATTTACCCTCCCCCACTCTAGTAACCTCCACACACACTATATCTATTTTACAGTCCTGTCTTTCATTATTAATATTTAAGCTGATATACAGAGGGATTTCTCAATGTATCCCCACTGTGGGTATACTTTACTTTGGTCCATTTTTTTTATGTGAGCTACTTTCATTTTGACATTCTTTTTTACCAAGTACAATCAACATTTCCTTGAAAAAATTGACATCTCAAATTCAACAGATATTTAGAAATTGTCACTGTGTAATTACCATTCAATATCATCTTTCTCCAGGCTACAAGTTATTTACTAGATACACATGCTATCCTGGATGTTTTTCCTAGAAAGCAAAAAAAATTGAGTATAACATAAAAGAAAATAGAACTAAGAGCATTGATAAGATTGAATGTAGCATATCAAATTTCTATTCAAAGGCAGTCAGCAGTCTGAATGACAGTGCTCAGATGTAAACATGTATCTTCACAATGTGGATGATGTGGTGTGGTTTCTTAACCACGTGGAAAGTGAAGTGAGCAAAGAAGTGAGCTTAGGATCAAGTCTTGAGCAACTCAAATTACTCTAGATGGGTAAATAATGAAAATACATGAAAGATGATGAAAAGAAGGGAGATAGCGGGACAAAAAGCATGTAGTTTCAAGGAAGCAATGAGAAACAAGAATTTTAATTAGTAGGGGACATGGGCCTGTAGATCAAGGTTGGAATACGTGTGTGTACTTGTTACCTGTCTCCCTTCTGGGACTCTACAAAAAAGATCTGTGTCATCAATGAGGAAACTTTATTATGAAAATGAAAAGAAGAGCATTGCTAACAAATCAGACCCTGATTCATTTTGGGAGAAGTAAGAAAGGATATGAGTTAAATGATTTAAAAAGAGATAGAAAAAACTAAAACCTAGAATTAAAATATAATAAGTAGCAGAAAGGATTGACAACCTTATATCCAATAGAAGCCTACAAAAACCTGAAATCCAAGTTAGCACTAAAGGTAGATGTAAGAAATAGGATGAAACAGAGGGAATTCAGATACATGTGTTGAACAACTGTTGCAGCAAAATGTCAGAATCCCTTCCCTTTCCTGTCTCTACTTGCAAAAAGACTAAAGAGTTTGCCTCAAAAAGTGAAGCTAAAGCTGTTAACGTGAATGGTGGAACCACAGTGAAAACCTTATCTGACATTTAGGTGCCTGCTGCCTGGCAGTCAACTCTCTGCCCTTATGTCAAAACTGAGATCCACCCTCAACACATGGTGTTCAACCATGGCACCCCCCATACCTCACAAAGGAACCAATTCTAGGACGCCCTCAGGTCCTAGAATATACAAATGCAATATGAATTTTTTTACATATTCTTTATATGCAAATCTAAGTTAATAGTTACTGTTAAAAATACTAGACCTATCAGATAATTGCAGAATTCATGCCTAGATAATGTGTGAAAAATTGGAAACTCTTGAAATTATTACAAGAAATTACACAGATTAGACTGGTATTGTTTTTGTTTTAAA